ACCGCCCTGCTCCCTGCTATTCCACAAGGAGACACAGCCCCTTGTCGGAGCTGAGGGCGATGGCCGAACCTAGAGATCATCGAGGAAAACATCGTTCCGCCCGACACCCCGAATCCCACCCTCGCTGCCGACACAGAGCGCTGCCATCTCCGAACAGCGAGTACGTCGGGTAGCGCAGTGCTCTCTCCTTGCATATCTTTTTCGTCATGAATTGCAAACCTTATAGGCCGAGGTCAGGCCATTTTAGACCTCAGTAGTAACCCCCATTTTGGTAGGAGCTTTAGCGGCTAGTCTTAGCTCAATAGTGGTACGGAAGCCCTCCCCACGCGGGACTGGGCACCTGCTATTTTTTTCGATGTGGAACGAATGCCCTAGGCAGCCTTGTCTGACCTGTGTCTATGTTACTAAAGCGAACTGGGGTAATCCTCCCTGACAAACTCTGAAGCCTATAGCTGGGTAATGGCCTGAGCACGTTCTCCCAAGTACAGGGTTGATTTGTGGGGTGTATTCCCGGGCCCTTGTTCTCGCCCTCTTTGGAATAATAAGCCTAAAAAAAAAAAATCATGAAAAATGCAACTCCCATGGGTCGGGACCTGCTAGAAACGTTTTACAACGACTTGCTGGCTTTCCAATCCCGTGCGGGCCTTTCGTGACACATAGGGTCTCGCTGCACTACTCTCCACTCTCCAAGAAATCGGAGAGTACGCGGAGAGTTGTCAGACTCTCCGATTTCCCGGATTTTGGGTCATCGCTGCACTAACTCTACAAACGCAGACTCTACAACTATCGAGGGTACAAAACGACAGCTCAAAGTCCCCGTTTGTCTGCCCAGACTCAAGGTTCACTCTCCAGATTTGGAGCAAATCGGTGGTTCCTTCGAAGGTCTATCCGCATAACGGATTTTGCAGGCTGGGCACTCTCCGGCGTCGGAGAATACAATTCTTTTGTGGTTTCTGACAGCTCTCCGAATTTCTTTCGGGGTTCTAAAGTAGAGTTAGTGCAGCTATGCATCACGCTCCGAATTTTCGCGAAGTAGAGCGAGACCCATACAGTCCTTGGATGGGGATTGATATCCAAGGCCCGCCTGTTTGTGAAACCGTGAAGTTTCACGGCCGGGCTGTCAACCAATCTGTGTTCTAGAAAGGCTTCCACTGTTCCTCCGTTGCATTTTTGCCAATTTTTGAGGTAGGGGGTAATTTTGCAACGTTTCCGCGTTGCTCCCTCGTTGCTCGCAGCCTCCATGAGATCGGCAAAACAGAGGGCCTCGCCACACCACTGTCGGAACGAAAACAGCATTAGCGCATCTTCCCCAAAAAGCAGTCCGATGCATCTGTTCCTATTCATAGGAACGGATGCATCTTGCGACTTTCTGCGGGAGCATGCATTTGAACGTTTTTGGTTTCGACAGTGGTGTGGCGAGGCCCAGAAACATGACCTTCAGAGGACGCAGCCAGCCCATTGGCTGACCCAGGAACCGATCCTCAAAGACAGGCGACCAATTCGCTGCCTCGTTGCCCATTGGCTGACAGGAGAATCCCGAGAATGCTTTTTTTTTTTTTTTTTTTTTAAGGATAATTCTTTAAGCCCAACCAATTCAATTACCTGTCAAATCTGGACAGGACGGCCTTTCAGGCCTTTTTTATTGTCATTATAGTATTACGGGGAGCCCCGTAGCAGCCACATCTGTGCTCAAGCCTCCAACGAGTGAACATGCGGGAGCTGCACCCACCAGCAGTGGGATACCTGCTACAGCAGGTGGGCGATACCGGCCAGGGGTCAGCCGGTAGCATCAGGACATGGGCCAGTCACTGTGCCTTCCCTCCGGTCCCCTCCCCCTATGAACATCAGCAGTCTCTGCTCAATGCCACTCGGGGGGACCAACGGCATATCTCTAGGTGGCGGGCGCCAAGCTTGCCCAGGAAGGTACCTTTCGTTAATTCACAGAAAAGGAGGTTTTCAAATCTGCAAAAATCTGGCTGTCCCCTAGCCGGTATCGCCCACCTGCTACCGGCTGTCCCCTAGCCGGTATCGCCCACCTGCAGGTCGGGAGCAGCCCCCTCATGTTCTCTCGTGAACACGGTTCTGGCTGCTACGGGGTTCCCCGTATGCCTACAATCAGTAGTGGTAGGTAGGTAGTGTGAAGTGAAATTGAGAGAAGAATATAGCTTTTTAAAAAAATAGAACCAATTTTTAAATGTGAAAACAGCGTCGCACACGTTGTACGCGGCTGCTAGCCTGCTGCTGCTTGTGGGTCCCGACCCCCGCTCGTGCAAAACGACGAGCTATAACTCGGTCGGACGGATTTTATTCTTTTAGGGCGTCGCCACACCACTGTCGAAACGAAAACGTTCAAGTGCAATCTTCACGCAATATGCATCCGTAACTATGAATAGCAACGGCGGACGCATTTTACCATTTTCTGGGAAAGATGCATTCTTCCTTTTTTCGTTTCGACAGTGGTGCTCCGCCTCCCTTAGAGGCCACCGATTGGTCGGGAGTCGGACCTCTTGACATTGCCCGCTTGAAATTGCACAAGTGGTCGAGATCTGAGAACGTCGACCGCCGTAACGCGTCACTCCAGCCTACCGGTAGTGGGTCCTAGCCCTTGCAAGCGTCAGGAAGGAGCTAATGCACACATAGGGCGTCGCTGCACTGCTCTCGACATGCACAAAAAACAAAAATATTGGCCGTGTATCTTTCCATATTCTAGCGGAAGATTCACTCTCGTTTTGCACATTTCGAGAGTAGTGCAGCGAGGCCCATATTCGAGCAGCTGAGATGTGTGTGTGTGTGTGTGGGAGAGAGAGAGAGAGAGAGAGAGAGAGAGAGAGAGAGAGGTGTGTGTGTGTGTGTGTGTGTGA